CATAACCTTGGTCTAATCATGACAAGAACATCAGATAAATTCCAGTAGACGGGAATTCTATGATATTCCTAATCAGTATTCCTCAAAACTGCCAACTTCATTAAAAAGAAGGTAAGTCTGAGACACTGTCACAGACAACAGAAGCCTAAGCAGATATGGTAACTAAATAACTAAATGTAACAAGATGGGATCTTGATACTGAAAAAGGACTTTAGGTAAATAAAAACTAAGGAAATCTGAATAAACTTACTAAAATGTATCAATACTGGTTTATTAAGTGTAACATATATGCATACTAATGCATAATGCTTATAATAGGGATAACCGTGTGCAGGGGGTAGGAGTAATATGGGAACTTTGTACCATCTAAACTTTTTTGTGAATTTAAAACTGTTCTAAAAAAATAAAGTTATTAATAGTAAAAAAATGAAAAAAAAGCAATGATTTAAAGAAAAAACACTAAGGCAAAAACAGCTAAAACATTTTATAGTTAAGGTAATCCTTTGTTCTAAAAATTATTTCCGAGGCACAGTCTGGGTGGGAACAATGAGTTGTCCAAATTCCTATAAAGACTATAACAAAACAAAACAAAACACTTCTACTGATTAGAAGGTAAACTATAGGAAACTTATAGTGATTAGGCCACAGTTTTAGAACAATAATTTTCTCTAATTGGATTTGTCAAAGTGTTCCTGCAGGTACTGATTTAATTCAATTCAATACACATTTATCGAACATCTGCTATATGAAAGGCTCTTGGTTTGGCATTGGGTGGTGGATATAAAAGTTGAGGAAGACATGGCTCCTGAAACTAAAGAGATTAGCATCCAGAAGAGCTTAAAAACGTAACATGAATCCTCAAAAACAAGGCAGGATGTAAATGGGAATGCAAACTAGAGGGAGAGAGAGGTCACTCCAAGAAAAGGCACAGCACTGGAAAAGTGCAAGGCATTTATTTGCAAGAATTGATAGGTTAGTTCTGCTGGAGCATATGTTGAGGGAATCATGAGCCGCAGGGATGAAGAGGGTCATAGGGCACTAGGATACAGCATGACCAGAGCCACACTTCTGCAACACTAATAAGACCAGAGCTTGAAAAATGGATGGAAAGGCAGAGAGGACCACAGGCGAGGAAGGGGAGCATTACAACAGCCTGGCAGGGCAATGGGGTCAGAAGCTCGGCTTTCCAGTGAAAACAGAATGAAGAAAACACACGGCATGTGGCTTTCATTGTCCAGACTGCATTTTACAAGACTGTACACAGCTCAGGGACTATTCTAGCAGCAGGTAGTCATAACGGTTAAGACTGCCTCACATGTACTGTTCTGAAGCAGGTGCACGTACTTGAGGGAAGGTGCTGATACAAAAGGGTGTTTTTTCAGCTTGCTCGAGCTGATGCAAATTCACTTAACATACCTTTCCTTCCCTTCTTCCTGTTCTATACAGCTCTTATTTTTTCCTGACTATAAAAATAGTACATGCTCATCATAAAACTGGGGGTCTACATAAAATAAAACCCACTCACAATTGTATAATCCTGTGATAATCACTTTTATAATTTTAGTCTATTTCCCTCCACCCATTACTTTTCTATGCATGAAGCATCGGGAAATAGTGCAGTTGGTTAGTTAGAGAAATAATCTTAATTATGTGCACTCTTAATAGGTGCGATCTTCTACTATAAATATGAAACCAGCACTGTACATAGAAAACAGTTGTTGTTTTGAACACTAGGATCTACAGCTGCTTGTCTGAATGGCTGGACTCCATTTCTGAGAAGCTCTTTTGTATACATTTCATGGCAGTGAACTGTGTTGCAATCCCAGATATATAGGTGTATATATATGGCTCTAAAAATATATAGCACAGAATGTAAAGGCTTATCTTAACAAGATAAATCTTAACAGAAAATAAAACTTATAAGAATGTACATAAGAAGTATTCTAACTCTGAAATACCCTATTCCAAAAGACACAATTGTTTTATAATGAAAATTTTTAATAGTGTGAAGTATACAACTATCATGCTATAGCACAACAGGCTGCTTATATTTTATATTCACGAAAATGCATATATTTACCAAACTGGAATAAACACATATAGACACACACACACACGTATATCCTGCCTTGTCTCTGATTGTAGCTCATATACAAATAAATATTTTTAAATGTTCTTCTTTGAATGTGCACTTCAATCTGTCTAAAATTTACCAATTCTTCAAGAGCCATGCCAACTTTTGCCTCCATTATAAGCATTCAATGATAGCCTATTTATTATTTCTCGATGATAGCAATAGATCCTCTGAATTGCTTTACCAGTGTCTAGCCTGTTCTTTTTACAAATCATTTTGCTGAAATGATTTCTCTCAAACATAGCACTGATCATATCATTTCCCAGCTCAAGAGGCCTTCTTACCAGTTCCCAATGGCCACATGGTGAAGCACATACTTGTTGGTCTGGTTTCACTAGTCCAGACCACCCCCCAACCCTGCCCAGCACACCCTACATTCCTACCAGAGTCAACCTTCTGTGCCTTTACTTCAATTTCCTCCTGCCTGCGATTCCCATATTACCCCATGTTCTCTTCTGTCTTGACAACAGTTATTTGTGAACATGTCTTTCTTCTGGATTGGGCTATAAACTCTATGAAGCCAGGACTTGCAATTTCAGTTCAGTGCAACTGAATATAAATCAAAGCCACTGAAGACCACCTCTATTCCAGACATCGCACAAGGTGTTAAGAGTAGAGAGATGAATGAGACGCAATCTTCACCCTCAGGGATCTCACAACCCAGAGAGGGAGACCATGTAATAAATAGCCTGATTCAAGCACTACCCGAAACTGCAGGGATACACTCAAGATCCAGCGGCCACACAGCGGAAGATACAGGCTCTATCTGTGCAGGCTGGGCTGCGAGTAGGTGATTTCAAAGGGACAGGAGAGTGCCAGACAGCAGAGAGGAAGTGCATCATGGCCTATTCAAGCAATTCTAGAAAGGTGGGTATTTCTGCAGTGAGGGAAGAAATGGATGTGCCATTAGTGGTAGCAGGTTGAACACTGTCAATAGCCTTGCAAAATATGACAGGGCTTAAAAACCAAACGTGACTGAACATCTCCTCCAAGGCTGTCTTTGGTCATTCTTCCAAATATTTATATTAATCTGAAGTTTCCACATATAATTTTGTTTCTCTCCAACTAGCCTACAAACTTTTAGAAGGCAGAATTTGCATCTGCACTTGCTGAATGTTTCAAAGCCCTCAGTAGGGTGTGTAACACAGAGTGGAAATTTTATCAATATTTTAAATACATAATCCACCCTCATCCTGGTTGTTGTAAGCTCAGTGTTTAAAGAGAATTCAAAACATCTGTTAGAAGAATTAACCAATGCTGAGTCAGGACAAAAACTGAAAGGACCAGCATATTTTTCAAAAATGTTTTAGAATAGTGATTTCGCCTCTAGAACAATTTTATTTGCTGTTAAAAAAGCAATTTAATGCAATTTGTTGCAAATGTCATATTTTAGCATATTTATGGTTGTCAATAACTGTGTAATCAACAGTAACCCAACAAGTACAAATTTTCAGCTGTGATAATTGGATTTGCCTCTCAGAATTGCTTGTATATAATGATTGTTAATCAATGGATGACGTTCCCTACAGACTGGCCAGCCCTGTCTCTCCAATCTCTGCTGGACAGGACAGTAACCGGTGGCCCGAAATGGCATCTTATCTACAGGGAGCGAGTGTGGTGTGATGGCCAATACTAGTAGGTGGGCTAAAGAAATGGAGGTGAATGAAGAGTGAAGTTGGAATAATCAGCGTCCCACTCTGTTAGATTTATACCAAGTCAGAGTGACAGCACCTTGTGTTTATTCGGGGGAGAAAGCAAGAAATGTATGTGAGTGTGACTGTATGAATCCGTTTGCTTAAACTGGAGAAGCAACAGGGCAAGAGGAATTCTCTCATAGGACCCTATCCAATGAGAAAAAGAAAAGTGAGCCTTTCCTTCACTTAACCAAAGAAAAGACGTAAAGGCTATAAATAATAAGGGAGATATAGGTAGGCATGCATACAGGTATAAATAGCCAAAAGAAGACTGCAAAGAAATGGACAGATGTATGTGGCAAAGTCACAGGCCACAGAGTAAAGGATCACATGAGAGAGACAGCGAAGAAGAAGAAAATCACTACAGGGATATATTTAAATCAGACACTCAGAAGGTTCTCTGCAGGATTATTTGACCCCTGATTCTTTTGCTGGGATGCTAACCCACACTGCCACATACGTTTGTGTTCCTCATTCCTCCTCTTGTCGAGGTGATGGTGAGGAAGGAACACATGTCTATGCTGTTAAATTTTAACTCCTAAACGTCATTGCCCATAATTCCATGCTTTCAGTTCTTCTCATTTTTTATAATTTTTTTAATGTTTATTTACTTTTGAGAGAAAGAGAGAGAGAGAGAGAGAGAGAGAGAAGCAGAGCACGAGCAGGGTAAGGGCAGAGAGAGAGGGAGACACAGAATGGGAAGCAGACTCCAGGCTCTGAGCTGTCAGCACAGAGCCCGACGTGGGACTCAAACCCTCGAACTATGAGATCGTGACCTGAGCTGAAGTCAGCCACTTAACAGACTGAGCCACCCAGGCACCCCTCCACTCTTTCAGTTCTAAGGGGGACAGGCAAGTGCCAACGGTCTGGTTGTCATCATTTTCCCTGGAGATGAAAGAACCAAGAAAGTGTCACCAAAGAGAGAGTCAGTCCAATGAACATACCTAGATAAAGCATATGCAGGTACAAATGCCACTATGTGTTATTCTAAGTGACCGTGTCTGTGGAGAGAGGTACTCACAGAACTATGCTCTAATAAACACTCCAATCCCAAAAGTCAGTTGATCCTGCCAGAGACCCATAAATGATCCTATATTTAATTCCTATTTCTTGTCCTTTCATTTTGGAGACCTAGCCCTCCCCGGCCGACATTGGAAAATCAGCCCTCTTACATCAGTCTGGGTATGTCACTGACAGCCACTGTCCCGTCATGGGCCTCGCTCTCTCCATCTTCCTCCTCTTCATCACTACTTTCCGACTCCTCGCTAGAGGAGGAGTAATCAGTCACCTTCTTCAGCGGGCGGTTTGTTTCTTCAATCCGGAGTTCTCTTAATTCTTTGGCTAATGCCGTCAGATCCTACAAAAGAAAAGTTTGTTCAGCATGTAGGAATTGTAGATACAACAAAGTCACATCTCTCAGCAAGTCAGTGCTCCAGCTTAAGCAACAAGAAAAGAAAGCTCTATATAGAACGGTTACAAACATAGTTGCTGCATGGAACTCAGAAAACGATGTTTGTAGCACAGAGAAACTAGAAAAGAAAGATGAAATAAATTTAGACTTTGCTCAAAACCAATTGCTAGACTGAGACGGCTCAGTTCTGAATATACGCGTGTATATATGTGTGTGTGCGTTGTGTGTATACACATATATACAAACATTGGGTTCTCATTTTATTTTGGGAAGGTGAAGTCGGTCACCCTCAGAGTATATGGGAAAACACAGGGGATTAGCAATTGTTCCCCAGTATTTTGGGTCTCCTGCCCAAGCCACGGTCATGGCCTCTCCCCTCTTTGATTGCTACTGTACCAAAATCTAGCATCAGTCACAGAACAGAGCAATTCCCAAGGTTCCAGCTACTACAATGGCTCATTTGGTGGGTCATCATTCCCTGGAGAGCAGAGGCACCACATCAAATAATGGCCCACCCCAAAGCCTAGTGCCACTGAAATTTATAGCCACGGAGCTGAATTAATCAAGAGGAACAACAACAACAAAATCGAAAAGAAAAAAGAGAAAGGAAAAAAAAAAACAGGGAAATTCTCTTCCAGAACGATAGGTGTTTCATTTTCTTTTGTTTAAAATTACAGTCACCTGGCAGAAACCCTTATGAGGAATACCAAAGTGCATGTGCAAACACCAAAAGAGAAGAGATCGTTTTTCAGTTTTCCATGAGTATGATGCAATCTTTAGCCTTATGGATGTGATGATGTGGTATTTAATCACCAGGCACATTGCAGGCAGTGTGCTGAATCTCTGACTACCTTTTATTTCACATGCTTTCAGAGCAATGCAGAGGGAAGCAGTTCTGCAAAAGCATGGCCGCTCTAATTTGCATGGGTTAAACTGCCCATGGCACGTAGCATGCAAATGAGGAAAAAGCAATTTGATATCAGTCTTACCATTTCTCCCTATATTAGTGACCCATGTGGGAATCAGAGCATTCAGTGAGAGACAGGGGATTAGGGAGAAAGAAACTCATTGAAAGATACTAAATCCCACAGTTTTCTTATGGCCATATTCTCTCTTTATTTCAATTCAGAAATGTATTTGTCCAATTCACCTGATGTAAGATTAGAGCAATGTAGATGATCTAAATGATCCCTGATAATCTATCCTAATTGGTCAGAAGAAAAACTGAGATAAATGTGTATCGTTAAATTATAAATATAATTTTATTTTGAGGAGATAACAAATCATCATGTTTCTTTACTGTCACCTGTATATTAGGCATTACTATGTTGGTTAAATGCTTCAGGTGTTTTACTTGGTGTAGAATTTAGGAAGGTCAAGGTGCTAAGTGAAGGTCCAGGGTCATTTCTTTCTCATTTCATAATAAAGTCAAAGGAAAGCACGACTTTTAAATTTGTTCTGAAGTCACTTGAATTGAAGCACTTGGAAAAGGGTAGTTTCTGAAAATTCAAATTGTGCATTTTCCACCCAAACATGCTTGCTGGGCTTTTACACACATGCACACACACATGGCCTCAATCTCAGTGGATATATTTACCCCATCTGTGAAAGTGAAAATAGAATTCTATTAAAAAGACTCAAAGGTGTTTAAATATAACATATACCATTAAAGAAGAAAATTACCACATAGACAGAATTTTATGCAAATCTACTTGTTTCTTTGGCAATGGGCCAAAACAGGAAAAGCCAATATTCAGATTTCAGCTTATACTCCTCATTTCCTCTTGACATTGCCAATGTTTACCTTTATCAATTGAGAAGAAAGTGAAGGGTAATGCAATACTTGAGCACAGTGGGAAATATAGTTTGGATATTTGTTAAAGCTATGAACAGAAAAGGTATTACAATCTTCCAAACCAGTAAAATAGTAACAAAATTTATTTTCTATTTTGTCTTCTATATTTTAGGAGCATGTTAGGTCTCATCAAAGAATATAAGGCATTTAAAATGTTACTTATCATTAAAAAAAGCATTTTATTATAATTTAAAGAGAGAATATGGTTTAAAATAATTTATTTCTAATGTCAATAATTCTGAGTAAAATATAATAATATTAGCTATGATTTATTTAAATTTATAATACGTTTTCCCCGTGGATTCATTTTCCTTATCTTTGACATTTCATGACAAGATAAAAGAGATTTTTAAAAAGTCAAAACTATTTAGAAATATTTAGCTTGTCCAAAGCCCATTGAATTAAAGAAACTCTCATTTGTAAAAATGACCTAAATTTTTCTAAACACTGTATCTAGGAAAAGTTTAAAGTTCTGACCTGCTTTACAACTTCACTTTTAATTAGAATTTTTTTTTGTTTCTTCATTATTAAAAAGTTATCTTTCTTGAAACACTGGAAGTAATTGCAAATTCCTTTTAAGTTTACTTGGTAACAGCTTGGGCGGTGAGACGTATATGAGACTCCCGAGGTAACAATAATGAGTAACTCGAAGGTAATACCCCAGTCAAAGAAAATTAATCTTCCATTGCCAATAGTCTACATGCTTAGCTGCAGTTTTGTTCCTTATCCATCCACTCTGGAAAAATTTACAATAGCAAAGTTATAGAAAATAGACACAATCTAAAATTGACACCATTGGGTTCAGATCCATTTTCATACATTTTATTTTCTGACAATACCAATTTTCTCCATATAATGAGTTTTTGTGGTAATTTATTGCTTGGCTGTCTCAAGCCTGAAGCTAAAAAAAATTTCAAAAAAGAGAAAAAAAAGTGCTATTTAGTATGGAAATATTTGAGAAATGCACACCTAAAAAAGAAATACGGCAAAATGGTAAGATTTTTTTGACTATGGAGTAAATGTGAAGATAGGAGACTCTTACCCAAAGGCTTGTTTGATGTAACACTTTTTAGAATTAACTTGATCCATATTTTTTCATTAAAAAAACTCTTATTTAATCTGACAATTATGTAGACTTTACCTCAAAAGGTGCTCTTTTGGGTCTCTTTTTAGAAACAATGTAGTTTATTCAAACTTTAGTTCAATTTTTTGAATTATTAAAATAAAGGTTAAAAGTTTTTAGGCTGGTCTTTTTTTTTACATATGAAAATAATTTATCTCCTTTTTAGGAAATCTTAAGAAGTGACATTGGGGAAGTTACTTAACTCCAGCATCCTCATCTGAGAAAAAAAGCTTTTAGATCACTAGCTACTGTTCAAGTTTTGTCCTGTCTATGGGTGTGCGATGGGATTTTTCAGATTCTTACACAATAACAAAAATATAGTGCTAAAGCCAGTATTTGCTTATGTATCAATCTTCATGTCATATGTTTAACTGCTAGAGTGAAAAGAATATTTTCAATGATTGTATTAAATAATCACAGACTATATTGCACAATCTTATATCCCATTAGAAAGGAATGCTAAATTAATGGACACTCCTTGAGACTGATTTTCATGAAAAATCAAACTGTTAAATTAACAATAATAAGCAACATGTTTTCCAAGAGTTTTGAAACTTCTCATTTCAATCCTGGGTTATCTAAATGGCAAATCAGTCACAATGGAAGGAAGCCATATTGAACCCTGTGACTGAAGATGGGAGAAAAGTTTAATTCAAGGTTTCTCAGCTGTGGCACTATTGATGTTTGGGGCCAGATCCTTCTCTACTCTGGGTGGCTCTCTTGGCATGGTAGGATATATAACAGCATCTTTCTGCTCTACCCACAAGCTACCAGTAGCACTGCCCCCCACTTCCAAGTTGTGATGAACAAAACCACCCCAAACTTTGCCAAATATCTCCTAAGGGGAAAGAAGGGGATGGAAGGAAAAGGAGAGGTGGAATCGTCCCTGGGGGAGAACTACTGAGTTAGGCAGAACCAAGTAATCCTGTATTTTTAGTGGTTTGGATCAGTGATATTCAAGGCATAGGGTTAACAGAATCACCTGGAGGATATTTTCCAATCACACATGGTCCGAGATTTTGGTGTGCCACTTACATCACCTCAATTACTTATACTTCTGTTGCTATCTCTCATCTGTGTCCAGGGTATGAGAGTAAAGCAAAATAAATAAAGCAATTTTTAAAAAGCCTAAAATATCCTGGGTTAACCAGATGAAATCCATTTTCCTCACGACAACCACCTTCAAGCTGAAATCTTGTGAGATTTCCCTTGAGTTGTGCACACACACAACCCTTTTTCTGGCAGCCATAGCACCAGAATATCGCTTTCTGTCTTCAACCATGTGGGAAAAAACTGATAAAAGGTGTAATAATTGCTGTCCTTCTGACTATGATGAGGGAAAGTTCAGGGCTGTGGTACAAAGCAATGAAAAACGTTCCTCATTTTGCTCTCTTATAAATGCCGTCCACACACTGTAGACACATAGAGTCTCATTCTTTTATGAGCAGTAATCTTTTACCTAAGAAATAACATTCTAAACCACTCTGAATGGTAAGGCAGTCCTAATTCTGAAAAAGAGAGGCTCTTTGGTAAAGGTCAGAAGCATAGGATCCGGCTTCTCCCACCTGCCAAAATGGCGCCATGCCGCGGGCTCAAACTAGCATGAGGACTGCCTCTTGGCTTTCTCAAAATGGTCTCGCACACGTGATCTTGAGTGATCCTAATCAATCTTACGACCGAGGCAGAGCAGGTGCCTTCATCCCCATCTTACACATGAAGAAACTGTGGCCCAGAGAGGTTAGGAAACTGGTCCTGGCCAGTTATTTACTCGGGGGAGCTAGAATTTGAATGCAGCTTGCTGATTCCAAAGCCAGCGCTTTTTCCATGTCGTTTCACAAAAATAGTGCTCAGCAGAGCTACAGCCTTAAAGCCATAATAGTAGTCTTCAGATTCCGTGCACTCAGGACTCTTTGCAAGGCCTGTCTCTGAAAACAAACAACAGCACAACTCCACTGTGCTGTATTCATGCAGGTCTGACAAACAGCGGGAAGGCAGTCATCCTTCTTAGCAAGCTACCTAAGATTGACAAAGCCATATATTTTTCTAATGGAAAAATGTCTCCGCAGATAAGGAAATAAAGTCACTTAACTCGCCAGGATTCATTAACTAAAGTTGATGTTGCTGCCGATGCTGTAGTTAATGTCCCACAAAATTAATCTAACAATACCCAGTAACTCCTTGTTCACAAATCACACGTTATAAATTTGGAGTGCTTTAGAATGATGTCTCTTTCTCTGTTAGTAAAACCGCCATCCCCTCGCGAGGCTGGTGAGCACAGGTTAAGAGCTCGGGCATTGCTATTGGAAGATGCTGGAATGAAAAACTGCCAATAACAAAGCACTAATGTTTATCTTTAGCTAGATTGGAACATTGGAAAAGTGACATTTTGGCTTCGAAGGAAGGTCTCTGGAGCTTTACCCGAGTGTCTGAGGGCCTCAGGCTGGCTGCCATTGAAGGGGCTTGCCTTCCAGCAGACCACTCCAGAGGAGTGAGCTTTAAATCTGTGATCCAACAGGCCACTTTTCTGAATGTCAACATCAGGAAATCACCTGTATATTTACATCTTGTGACAGTATGACCAAGAAAAGGTAATACTAACCTCATCTATAGCTTTCTTATAGCTCTGAAAAAGGAGGAACCCAATCCAGAAGAATCCACAGGAGGGGGAAAAGCCAGAAGAAAGAGAGCAGGTTAGACACAAAATGGGAATTGTTAGTACACAACTGATAAATGCAATAGCAGAAAGGGCGTCAACCCCAAATGGGGCAAATTCCCTTCATTATTACTCTCACTATGCTTCCTTACTTAAATATGTAAAAACCAGAGTAAACCAAAAAGCCTTTGCATTCATTTCATAGAAAAGGTTCTCAGAAATTTTAAGTAAAGTATGTGGATGGATAATAACTCATCCCAAGTTAATTTCCAACTTTCAAATATCAGCCTCCATGCTCTTATTTCTTTTGCTAAAACTATCTGGGGTCTGTCATGTCATAGCAGTGAAGCTAGATTTCAAGTTGTCAGACCCATGGTCAAACCACGCTTATCATGTTTTGGTCCAGAAAAATAGAGTCCTAAAGGCATGAAAAACAGCATAAATTACATTAATTCATATGGAAAATAATATGGGGAGAGGGCAGAGTAGACAACAGAAACCCAAAGAAAGTGCCCACATCCCTTCAACTGCTAGCTTGAACATCTTTTTGCCAAAGCTGCTGAGTAGAAATTATGTTATGATAGGAGTTATTTCCCGCCTTTTTTATTCTCTAAAGTAGTGCTAATGATTGGCAGAAAGCCTAATGGCAGATAGGCAATCTGAGATCTGTCCAGTTCTTTCCTAATCAGGTATTACTTTCTTCTGGATACTTCTAGCATCCATTCTTCTTCTTAATCTCATTAAGTTTTGTTTCATAGTCATGGGTGTATCCCCAACTACTGTGTCCTGTGGCTTTTCTGGTAATTTAAAAAAGTTCAAAAGCACTCACAGCTGGTCGACTAGGTCGGGTAATGTCCCTGGATTCTTCTGGCTTCACCTTGGAAGGCTCATGGGGGAGCACAGGTGATCCTTCCGACTTACTGTTGGCTAGGTAGAAAGACAGGGATCAAGAAAAATAATGTGGTGAGTCTGTGGTGAGTCATCCTTCGGGATTACTCGGGATACATCATTCATTTAGGCAAATCCTCAAACACATCCATGAAAAAATTGTTAGTATTCAGGCAAACGCACTTAGGCTTGTAACCTGAAGTCACTAATAATAGTAAGAAAAACTAGCACGTACCAGCACCACCACCATTTACTGAGTGCTAAATGTGTGTCAGGCTTAATGCTAAAAGCCTTCTATGTCAACTGTCTCATCGAATTCTTGTTGCAACCCAATGTATGGCCCTCTTTTCCCATTTCACTGTTCAAAACAGACTTAGAGAGATGGCATACTAGTCTAAGGTCATGCTGAAATTATGGGCAGAGTTGGTATTCTGTCTGGCTTACCCAAGTCCTATTCTCGGTAGTACACTAGACCAGCTTCTGTGTTAGCATTCTATGGTTGGTTTCTTCTTGTACCACTTACCCATCAGAGTAGGTTATTTTGAGGGAGTGTTGTGGGAAAAAATAGAAACCTATTTTATGTGATGGAATGGTTTTTAAATGGGGGGCAGGGGTTGTCTGTGTCCTTTAAGGAAGAAAGAATGAGGTGGGGACAGGAAGGAGAGTATTGGTGACAAAGGGGAAGAGCCCCAGAATGGAGGATGGGGGAGGTCCACCAACAGCTACGGAGTGAAGAGTATCTCTCAGATTTTTTTATAGGTACAGAAAAAACAATCTGGCATCAGAGAGATTCTTTTACTGTAAAGTGGTCTTTCATGGGCAGAAACACATCAGGGATACAACAGTGTTTTCAACCCAGAGGAACTAGGGGCCAAAGGAAAGAAGATAAGAATTAAACCCAAACCGGATCAGAGAATTACAATGATACGCATAACTTTAGTTTTCTTTAGTTTTCTCTAAGGATATTAAGATGCTTGTGAATAGAAAAAAGATAAATGAATGGCACTTTTCTCAATTAAGTAAATTTATATTTGAAGTAAAGCAACAGAAGTACACATAGATATGTGCTGCACCACTGAGGTCTGAAGAATGCATATGGAGGCAGCCATATCCCGGTCCAGAGAAATGAGCACTGCACGCCAGATTTCAACCTTTCCAAAATGGAAATACAGTGACTCTACTTATTTAAAACCTTAAAAAGCTAATATGTGGCAACCTATGATTGTGGCAAATGAAGAAGCTAAGAAAAAGGGCTGGTGGTTTTTCTCAGAGCACAGTAATTTGTTAATATTTATCAAATTGCACTTAAAAAAGTTCTGGTGTTTATTACTTGGAAGCAAAATTATCTTCTGAAGGTTATTCAGAAAGAGTAAATTTTGATTAGCTAGAAGCAATGTGTTGTCATGTGTAATTAGCTGGACATGCTAATGTTTTTCACAAGCTTCCTCATTAATGAAAACTAAACAGTGATAAATGACTTGAATAAACGGTCAGAGAGGCTCATTTTTTATCCCTCTTTGGTAGGAATAACTAGAAGAGTGAAATATACTTTCTAAGTCAAAGAGTTTATTTCTTCTTTAAAATGTGTATGTGTTCTACGTTAGTCTTTACCGAATCCCACTTTGAGAGATCCTTAGTATCATGAAATATATTCACACACAAAGGGAAGACTGGCATAATGGGAAGAGGATACTTGGGGGTACATGAAACTCTAAACAGACAACAAATGGAAATGGGAATTCAGGTGACTCAAAAGTAATTATATTTTCAAATAAGACCAATAGTCTATGATCATCCCGGAAAACAACGTGATCTGCAATTAGAAAAGATTTAGTCCACACTGTGACGTCACACATGTATATGACTGGGGATGGCGGTTCACTCATCTAAGGAGACTGAGGCTCCGGGAAGTCAGGACTCTGTGGCATCACACAGCGGTGGCCATGCCAGGAGCAGGAATCACAAAAGTCAGGAAGTAAATGGATTCCATGCCCCCCGGCTCTCTCCTCCAGGCAATGTTGTTGGGAAAGGTGGGGGAAGGTTTACCTCGAACTCTGGTTCGCTCGCTGGACCCCGCTTGCGATCCAGGCTGAGAGCCTCCTTGGGAGCTGGGCTGGGAGCTGGGGGTGCTGGAGCTGGAGGAACTGCCGCTGCTGGTCCTCTGCAAGGGGCTCTCCAAGACAGGCTCCGTTCTCCGGAGGTCAGGATTGCTGTGTGGAAGGCAGAACACGGTGACTACACCCTGGACACCTTGCCATCCACAGACACAGTACAGTCCAGTCCCACCCCCGGTGCAAAGGAGCAAAGAGAGCACATGTGTGACACTGCACAGAAGGGGTCAACGGAAATGACAGTCATGTCGTCTTCTGTGGAGCTCCCAGCCAGATACTGCTGGATGAGATGAACTCTTGACCCAGCTCCTGGATCATTACACTAAAGTATTAGCTCTGAAATGGTGCTCGTCAAAGGAGGCTTTCTTTGAAACCCTTATTCCTGTGTTCATTGTAAAAAAAACAAAAAAACAAAAAAACAAAAAACCTTGAAAAATATTAAAAGATAAAAGAAGGAAGCAACACATTCAATCTCTGACCCAAGAGACATCCAACTATATTTTACTATTTGGTAGAGTATCTTCTAGACTTTTGTATATACAGAAGCATGCTGTATGTTCGGTTTTGCAGCTTTTTTCCACCCTCCCTTAGCACTGCTTTGGGAGCAGCTTCTTATGCTTACAAAAATAATAATCGCTGCATAATAAACCAGTATATGGAAGAATTAGTTTAACTATTCCTCTACTGCTGGATATTAAGCTACTTCCAATACATTGCCGTGACACATGACATTGAAATAAGTATCTCCAGGCACCTGCACATCCCAGTCACATCTCTTTCCTGGAACTGGGATTGTTGGGTGGAAGGATATGAACAGGGATGAGTGTGTTGCATATGAGTTTGTATGTGGGTGTGTAATGTTATTACTGGTTTTTGCTGAAGTGTATGAAACGGACCATCTTACTGAATTCTTACCACGCTTTAGGATGAGCAGTTTGCTACTTTGTAAAAAAAAAAATCTATCTTGTTGTTGTAATGTTGTTTTAAAACATTACTCTTGAGGTAGAATAATTCTTATTCACATTCATTTGACATTTATAATTCTTCTGTGAATTGCTTAATCAAGTTCTCTGCTTACGTAGTTAGTGGTATAGTTGCATTTTAAATTTCTTTCAGGAAGTCTTTATATACTTTGGCTATTATCAAAAGGAGGTGTGTTTTAAAATAATTATTGGGCGCTAATTCAAGAATAAATACTTTTATAAAATCTTATTATTATTCACCTTTATATGTAAACTGCCCCCAAAATAGTGGATTTATTTGCTCACTCAGTTGGTCTATACCAAGCACTGGGTCAGGCATTTGAGATATGGTAATGAACAAGACACAGTCTTGTCATCTGCCGGTTTAGCCGGACGCACACAGCCAATTTCCTCCATGCTTCGCCTGCAGTGAGCACAGGGCAGCATGGGAGCATGGACAGAGCCACGTAAGCCACTTTTGGTGATCATAGAAGCTGTCCTAAGAGAGTGGTGGGAAACAACTGCTGAGGTTTCTATGATTTTGTTATAAAAATAAGCAGCATCCTCAAAGTTTCCACAAAGCTCTTCCTTTTTAATTTATACCTTAGAGGCCTTTTCATTTATATAATTCTGGGCCTAAATTAGTGCATGGATAATTTAGTGAAACCTGCAACTCAAAGCTCAAATCCACTGCCATCCACCTGCCGAGGGCCCCTACATGTTTCCAATGTCTTCAGTTCTCCAAACAGAACTGCACACCTTAGTGTGATCACAGACTATGATTTTAATGCAATAATTCATGTTAAAATGCAATTTTAAGTCTTCATTTTGCTCCCCTCATTTCAAGACTGTCAAGTGCACACTAAACTGTGTGGGGTGTCCCATGTTTCATGTATAAAAATGGAAATAATATGGTCTCTTCCCTTGAGAAACTTGCATTTTAGTGTACCAAAAATCTGGCCACAGAATGACATCATTATAGCAGCAACTGGACCAAATAATTTCTGTTTTGAAAACTTAAGAACTTTGCTTTTGGTGATGTATCTTCCAAAAACATTTGATCAAGTGAGAAAATGTTTTAAATATTGGGTTATTGTAAGACATGGCTGGTGGCTCTGGAAAACATATGTGAAAATAAATATGTCCTCATAACTTAGTAATTTTTATCACATAAATATAGAATTTATGACAATAGTTATCTTAAGGTTTTATGGTAAAGGAGTTGCTAAGTCAACCCAACAGTATGATCGACTGAAGCAGAAGTGATTATCAAATTTAAGGAAAATGTTTAAATTCTCAATATTTTTATAGGACTCCTTTGCATAGTAATTATTTTTGTGAAAACTTCTAGCACTTAATTGGCTAAAATAGATTTGGATCCATACTGGAACTAGCCCTGATTTGGAGAATACCTAAAATGATAAATGTATAATACTTATGCAGTATCCTACCTTTTGAATTTTCCTTAAAGAAACAATCTTATCTCCTTTTATTCCCAATAATAAATTATTTCCCCTGGTCTTGTTTGATTAAACAGTGATGGTCAGGAATTATTTATACATAATTAATAAAGTCCAAAGTTTTTTTTTTTTCTTTTTTCTAAAAATTGCATTGCTAGCCAACTGTATCACTGATTAAAGGTAATGGACATGCTAAGGCTTCTTGGTAGTTGCTTTCGTTTTGTAGAATGGTAATGTAGTGTTCTTTGTATTTAAAAATAAAAACAGTTATTGTGAGAAGGGTGGCTGTGAGCTCTGAGATATTTTTCTCTGGTGACTGTGGTGTGGTAGCAGGATCCAGCTACTTGCTTGAACACAGCACTCCTTTGGTAATTTAACCAATACCGTTCTGTGAAACAGCTGCTTTGTGAGACTGGTTGGACCAGTATGAGGGATGGAGGACAGCACAGGTCACAGGTGTGAGATGCAGCAGAATTCTAGACGTGAGAAACAGGCAGCGGAGACAACAGTGAAGAAGGCAAATCTCTGCATGCTATGTGTGAAAGAGCCCGTAAGTATTGTCGGAGTTTGGGGAACGATGAATGCAGCCTGGGGTCGTTGAGGTGGTGTCAAGAAGGAGACAGGACTTGACTGGGACTTTGAGGAATAAGCAGGAAGTCTGGGGGAGCGCCTGAGTGAAGACGCAGGGGCTGTGATTTTTCTGGGGCTAGCTGGTGTAGAGAGGACACCCACCCTGATGGAGTACTAAGTCTGTGTTAGGATAGACTGGAAGAGTGGGTCATCCGAAGAAATGGATGCTTTATGCAGCAGTGCCTGTAAAGCTTGGTAGAGCACACAGGTCTCCCCTGTGTGCAGGCTTATGGATGACTGGGGAGGAGACATGCAGGCTGACCAGGTGGGAGGCTGCTGCCATATTGATGATATAAGGCCTGGGCCCAGGCTGTCAGAGAGGGGCCTGGTCATTGGCAGAAGCAGCTGGCAAGTGCATGTGTCTCGGATGGAGCTCAGAGCCTCTTTTGGCATGAAATTAATTGAATCCCATGGGTATTAAATCCGTGACCTGGGCCTCATTAGCACAGGCCCTTCTTACTGGAGCGAACCAGCATGGGTGCTGATCTTAATAGGTTGCTATTTTTGCTGCTGGAGACTGAAAGAAGTATTTAGTGTCTATACAAACACACATAGAAATAGGGGAAACTTCAAAATGCTTTTTCTATGTTATTTTTTTTTTTTTTGGAAAATATAAGTATTTAAAAAAATTTTATTAAAAAAATTTTAAAAACATTCTAATTTATTTTTGAGAGAGAGAGAGAGAGAGAGAGGAGGGGCAGAGGGAGAGGAGGAGGGAGAATCTCAAGCAAGCTCCGCACTGTGAGCACAGAGCCTGATGAGGGGCTCAAACTCATGAACTGTGAGATCATGACCTGAGCTGAAATTCAAGAGTCGGACACATAATCAACTGAGCCACCCAGGTGCCCCAGAAAATGTAAGTATTTTGATAAAATGTCATACCATTCATATTTTTCTTTTCCTTATTGTATAGTAATCTGGTCTGGCCTTGGGGCCAAGAAGTCTGAGATAAATGCTTTTAGAGGGAATTTCAGAAGAATTCTATGAAATAATAGATCTCTCTTGTTCACATATCAACTGAAACTACTCAGATCCAAATGTGTGAAAACTTGAAAACATTCATATATACTTCTTCAAATGCTAACTTTTGGTTCAGACATTTGCCATCCCACAGACAATGCCACGGGCCTGTAAAACACACAGTAAAGTGAAGATGTGGCAATTATTTCATTTACTTGAATCATATAAAAAGTCAAAACAGAAAATTAGGATTACAAAGTGATTTCTTGGCCCAAATACTTGGGCCAAGTCTGTAATTAACTGGCTGACTGCCAAAATTCACTTTACTTTGTTCTGTGATGACACAGCCAATGAGAACAAATGAGCCATAGGAAGAGAGGTTTGGGATGGGACAGAGAATTATTTTTTTAAATTAAGCATTTAGTCATTGGGTTTTGACTCGGTGCTTCTGGCTTACTTTAAATCTTTTCATATTCTGAATGTACTTGTTTGATAAAATTTTAATTTGCTTTAAAAGAACACATGAATCAAAGTTAAATATTAAGGTACCTGGAATTTTTTAAAACGGTATTTTAAAAAATGAACAAACCAAATCTTGATTTAAACTCAACTAATCACTCTGACACCATAAGGCATCTGGGAGCCCACACAGCAGGTAGGAACTGCGCACAGATCTGCATATGCATGAGACAGAAGGGCAGGAACAGGTGTGTGGGGTTATGGTGATGGGGTGGAAACTGTCAAAAGCACCTAATGATATCAGTACCAGCTTGAGTAGGACGGTTTGGGGGCTATAAATAGGTTCTATGGGACAACAACCACTAAAAGGTAGTCAATACCACAAGATGAGAATCAATAACCACAGGATTAAGAGGAGCTATTAACATTCTCACTCAATTACATGGTGGGAAAAATGGAGGCAAAATGGAGGCAAAATGAACAAATCAAGAACCCTCTTTCCTTTGGGAACACGATGCAGCAACACCAGCCGTGTTTATTGCAAAACAGGTAAGCATGGCATGGTACTTAAGAGTGTGGACTTTGGTGCCACAGAATGGTTGTGGACAATGGTTCAAATGGTGGCTCTATCACTTAATAATCTTGTCACCTTAAACAATTTAGTTAACTTGTGTTTGTCTCAGTTTTCCTTCTATAAAATAGAGGTGATTATAGCCACTACCTCACAGAGTTGCTACATGGTTTAAAGTTTATTTATTTTGAGAGTGAGAGCATGCACACGCACGAGCAGGAGAGGGGCAGAGAGAGAGAGAGAGAGAGAGAGAGAGAGAGAGAGAGGGAGAGAGAGAGAAAATCCCAAGCCGGCTCCGTGCTGTCAGTGCACCAGATGCAGAGCTCGATCTCAGGAATGGCAAGATCATGACCTGAGCTGAAATCAAGAGTCAGACACTTAACCAACTGAGCCACCCAGGCGCCTGTTAAATGATTTAAATTAGTTACTATTTGAGATGCACACTGAAGAGTGCCTCACAAATAAAGATGTTCCAGATGTGTTTCTTAAATAAAGAAATAAATAAAAAAACCCAAACCAATCAGAAGGCAGGGATGCAAGGGGGTTGCCCAGTAACACTTTCCTGACCAGCTAATGTCAGCACAGCTGTATTCCTTGACACACACAACGATTCTAAGACATGTTCTTTACAGGGCTCTTTTTGATTTGGTGTAGTGTGTGTAGATAGGGGAAGTGACATAATAGGGAGTTTTTTTCTGGGAGAAGGAAGGCTTTTGAAAATAGTAAAGCTCTGCTTTTTCCTCACGTTGGAGGCATGCTTGCATCTCCCATTTTAACTCACCTCCAGAATCTTCCATTCAGGGTGCCAAGTAGCTTACTGACTTACACATACTGTTTCCTACATTCTCAGAAATTAGCATACATTCTGCAGTTACTGAATATACAATATCTTGCTTGGAGTTCATTAGTACTTAAACTCAGGAAGCAAAAACTGAGCTCTTTAACCATTAGGCTCTACTTTCTAGTCTTCCTTTTTCCTGCTGGCTTAGCGCAAAAGTGGCTTATTTCTCACTCATATCACAATATACACAGATCAAACTGGTCTCCTTGGTGGTTCTTCCTCAGGTGGGGACTTGGGGACTCAGGTTCCTTCCATGTCCAGACATTATTGTCTTAAATTTGTGGTCCCTACATTTGCTACAAAAGAAGGGAGCCTCTGCCTTCTTCCTATAATTCACATATTTACCTCAAAGCAAAGGAAGAAAGCAAGGCAAGAAATAGAATTTTGCCCCTAATAATGCCTATAGCTCCAAAGGGTAGCAGGTATGGTATATCCTCTGACCCATGGGCCCTAGACTCAGGTGGTCTTGGTTGAGTCACTGACTCCCAAGGTCCCATGCAGCCCTGAACACAGCAGGTCCTCAGTATACATTTGCTGAATTTAGCAAATGAAAATAATAACAACAAAACATCGTGAATTTGTCCTTTATTAGATGTGTGATTTTTCTTGGGATCCATTCTTACTTTGTTAATTTTCTACTTTCCCTTGAGGATCAATTTAAGGAGAAGGGCCGGGAGGATAAAAAGGAATACTGACCAACAACAAGAAGTATAGTTCATAAACATGGTAAAGGATGAATTCTTTAAAAGCAACCCTTTGTCATGGCTTCGTGGATGGCCAGTTGCCTGAAGAGTGGTACAAAAAGAACTATGAGAACTTCATTAAGACCAATATAAGATAGGAGAGTCTGTTTTACAGTAATGCCCCCAGCCAATCACATCTCCCATCGTCCGTGCCCTGTGTATTTTCTTTAGCGCACTGACTCAGGGCTTGCCCACATGACTTGTGGTTGCCAATGGGACATCAACAAAGATGACGCAAGCAAAGGCTTGAAAAGTGCTCCTGTACTGGGGCCCTCCCTCTCGGGAGGCTGTCCTGAGATTGCCAAACAGTAAAGAAGACCAGGATGAAAGTCCACATGAAGGTACAGCTGACCCATCAGCTCAGGGCAGCTGCATAAGTAGCCCAAGTGAGACCAGCCAAAAAACTTATTAGCCAACCCAGAGAATCGCAAGAAATAATAAATTGTTCCTATTTCAGACAACAAACTTTTAGGATGTTTTCTTATGAAGCAAAGGCAACCGAAACCAATAAACCAAAATCCTGAAGTAATAAACAGTAAATAACCAAAGAGTGAATAAACCAAATCCTGAAGCTTTAAAAAATGCAATCCAATCTAGACTGGCAAAGTCTGATTCACATCTTAAGTGTTGGTCATTTGGTGATAGCAAGAAGTAGGGGGTCCGGGAGGATTACTCTAGTTGGCAGAGATGGGGATTCTCCACCCCCTCCCCCCCAGTGCCTGATTTTCATTGTAGGTAAATAATTATTACCTCTTAGCTCCCTCCCTCCCTCCCTTCTCTGTAAGCAGAAAAATGTTAGCTGTCGCACAAAGTTTGCATTCTTTGGACAAAGTACAAATTTAAGTGGTTCCGAGGGAAAAGCTCATGTTTTACAAGCCACTGACCATCAAAATCCAACTATCTTAGGCCCTAGTGTCATTAAAATAACACTTCAGAGGGAACAAAGAACTGCTTTTTATTTGATTATATAATGATAGTTCTCTTTCTTTTTGGTTGATAGAAAGGAAAAAGATTTTAGTTGAAATGACGCTTGATCTACAGCCGCTAAAATTCTAAGCAACTGATCCCATGACCAGAGCCTCGAGGGCAGGGTCCAAGGGACCAAGAAGCACGGATAATTGGGGGCTTATTGCTGCTCGAAGAGGGGACTGACAAAGTTCACGCCCGTAATCCCAGGGCTGATGCTCCTTTGGCTCCTGGTCACAGTACACTCTGGTCTTCCTCAGCGCTGCTTAGCAACGCCAGCTCAGGCTGGAGCTGACAAGTCACTGGGAAAAAAATGGCTCATTCAGAGCTTCCTGCTATTGGCAATCCCACTCAGAATGGGCTAACTTCTTCGCCCTGAAGGGATTAGTGTTCTTAGTACAGTTCCATCTTATTTTTGGACTGACCTCTTTCTAAAGCTCTTCATGTGAAGAGGAATATTAAAGCTTCACGATCAAAAGCATTCCCTATATTAAAGATACGTACAAATAATCATAACTTTCATTTCCAGTCTCTCGTTCTCACTAGCTAGGGAGAGTCCTTCTCTCGTGAACACAGTGAAGAAGAACATAACGGCCTGCCCAAGCTCATCCTTTTTATAGTCTCAGTAGAAACCATTTGCTATTTCAGTTGATCCTAAAAAGTGGTGTATTCATCATGAAAAATCTGAGGGAAGCTCGACAAACTGGAGAAGCAAACGGCATAGAATCAGCTCAGATACAGTACAGATATTGCTTCCTTTCCAGATTCTCTTGAGACCTCTACACCAACCGGTAGGTGAATGCAGTTTCCTCACTGTAGGAATATCCACTGTTGATGGAAAATTCTAGGAGAGCACAGAGTAGCGGTGGAAACATAATTGTATCTCAGTGACCCTCCATAATGCCAAAGAGGTGATTTTTTGCTAAGAAATAGTTCTTTTGTAATTTGTCAAGCTAGGGAGCTCTGCAGCTGGCCACTAATACATTTCTTTGGCAATTACTTTGTAATGTCTTAATGGCTCCGAGGGTACATTTCTTGACCTGATGCTAAAAATCACCTCAAACCAGGCTGTCTTGTTCTGCTGACTTCATGAAATGGCCTCTTAAGTAATGGTTTGGGGTATTCCAACCAGACTTATATTTGCAATTTTACTCTCAAATTTTAAAAATGAGGTACACTTGGTTGGCTTCTGGGATGCCTCACTCACTCATTTATTCATGAGCCCTCACTCTGCACTGATTTCTGTGAAAGGTGACTGAAGAAATAAAAGGTGTATCTTCCGGCCCCACAGAAGCTTACAGTCCAAGTGCCCAGTCAACATGCGTCTGAAGTGAAACAAGGACAAAACCAATTTTTAGGAAAGCAATAATGACAGTGGCAGGTGGGGTTTTTTCCTCTACCTTAACCATCTTCCTTCCCTTACCTTGCTCTGATGGGTTGAGATCCCAGTCTGGGTCCCAGAGCACTACCATTTCCAGGAGAATTCTTTCTGGCTAATGCTGGGGATATAGAAGTTGTTCTTTGAGGCACCTGAAAGAAAACCGGAATTCAGAAATATTTTCCATAAAATAGCTCCCATAGGCTCCTACCTGAAAAGCAGCCTAACCCTTTTCTAAAATTTACCAGGAGTTACAGAAACAGGCAAGCAATAGTGTTCATTTTTCAAAGAAATATTTAACTCCCTAAACACAATCAGACAAAAGACACTGGCTGAGGCACATTCAGCCATCACAAAGGAGTACGGTAACTATAAAAACAAATTAAAAAGGAGACCAAGCTAATTATTTTGATTCACTGGGCTAAAATAACCGACCTCCTTTGCTTGTGTAAGAGTGGTGAATATCAGATATTTCTTTGGGGGTACCATCAACTCAGCTGATCATTGGAAATTTTATCAGATGAGAGTCATCCAGAGAAGCTGAGCTACGTCACAACTGATAAACAGGCAAGGAAATGATGACATCTGGGGAGAAACTAGGGTATCAGGCTAGAACTTGGGACATAAGCCACATGTTGCTGAGCTCAGAGAAACTACTTCAATAGATTCTATATGTTTCAATTTCCTAATCAACTTGCAATCACTAATTAGAAACAAACCCCTAGACACTGTGCTTTGGAAGGTCAATTTGCAAATGTAACACAAAACAGGATTAATATTGAAAATACTGGCAGGGTCTTCAAAAAGACTATGTGTGTATCATCAGACACAGAGTAGGAACATGTATCATTATTAGCTTATCTGACGAGGCCTAAGGTGGAATTTATGTATGTCTCATTTCATTAAACATTTTTAATGAAATCAAATATTGTAAGTGTACTAAAGGGGCCCAACATGAGGGAGGAGAATAATACTGTATGAAAGTGAGCAGGAAATGAAAATGTAGATATCCCGTGATAGCTAATTGGGTTAAACATTTGTCAGGTACTTCCGTTTCATTCACTTCTTGGGCCTCTTTTAAAGTGGGTTTGTGGTTTTTTTTTTTTTTTAATGTTTTTATTTATTTTCTAGAGACAGAAAGACAGAGTGTGAATGGGGGTAAGGCAGAGAGAGAGGGAGACACAGGACCCAAAGCAGGCTCCCGACTCCGAGCTGTCAGCACAGAGCCCGACACGGGGCTTTAACTCACGAACTGCAAGATCATGACCTGAGCCAATGTCGGATGCCTAACCGACTGAGCCACCCAGGTGCCCCTAAAGTGATTTGTGTCTTGCACTAGATATTTTAAAAATGTGCTTTGTTATAACATTATTGGTTACCACATTAAGTGATATTTAAGATTAATATAAATTTTGTTGTTATTATGATGCATTTTAAGATAAAGACCTAGGAAGATTAGTCAGTGAAGTGAAGCAGAATGGCCAAATCAGAGTTTCCACCCGCTCAAATTAAATATTCCTTTTTCTTTTTGTAAACTTAAATAGTTGTAGAGAAGAAAGAATCTAACAAATTATTAAAACTAAAACCTTTGTATAGATGTAAAATTTTCTCCCAGAGTTATAAATGTATGCCTACATGCTTTCAGAGAGCGGACCACTCACTTCCATTTTCAGTTTTTCTGGCTCTCGTGACACTTCTCTGCCTGTCCTATTTTCCATATTGGACTTTGCTCCCTAACCTTTTCTGATGGCATCTCGGCTTCCGCAAAAAGAGAGCACCAACAAAAAAGCCATGATCAGCTATTTTCATTTCCAAAACAATGGAAATCCTGTTATAATATCTTTTTGAGTAGAAGATGAGGAAGCATATTTGAAGATCATTGGGTAAAAAGTATTATTTCTTCCTGGAATCAACAATGGCACTGATCTTTGGAAATTGTGGGACATTCCATTTGTCATAGATCCTATGCTAAGTTCAAAAGAAAGGGGAATCTTGGACCAGGAAAAATCTAATGCAAACATTTCTCCAGTATTTTGAAATATTTCCAAGATGTCTGTAGTGAGATACATGACCACATTACATAACAACTTTTGGAATGAGTAACAACTGGTTTAGGTAAAAACAAAAGAAACCAATCCCAGGGTTATTCTGTCCGGTGGATGGCTAGTCATTTCACCCTACAGTTTTATCCTCAGGAATTAAATTATGACCCGGGCTAGAAGGAACTTGCCTTAAACAGCCAATTTTAAGAGCAATACTATCTTCTGAACACCTGCAATCTGATTTCACTTTGTGTTCTTATTAAAAGTAGGAATAAATCAATTTTCTACTTTTTATCTGCAAGTTTTCAATTAGTCTAGATGTAGATTCAGTCACCAGTGAAAATATCCATTTTTCTATTTCTCCTTTTTAAAGAAAGCTATATACCCAATGTGGGACTTGAACTCATGACTCTGAGATTAAGGGTTGCCTGCTCTACTGATTGAGTCAACCAAGTGCCCTTATTATTCTATTTCTTAATATGGATAGTAAAATAATAGTTTGGAATGCTTGAGATTGAGAGTTCTAATTCTGGATACAGGATAGATGTTTCCAGGTCACTCAATCTATATGAGCCTCCATTTCTTGGGAAATGAAGGTCAGAAGTGATAAATGATAATCCAAGTCTTAGCTTGGGAATGAGGAGGGATGAAAACAGACATGGGCCGTGCTTTGACATTCTCGTGCTCCTCATTACCATAAAAGGTCTGGAATAGAGGTAATAATACCAATAAAAAACAACGATGACCATGACAGTAATGATGATAAAAGCAGGCCACACTGTTACCTTTGGTGGAATGTCTTCTTCCTGTCGTAACCAAGAGCTTCGGTCAAACTTCTCAATGCGGGTGGGGAGAGGAGGGTTTTCAGAGGTGGGATCCGAGTTCTGGCGTGGCATCTCAACACGGTGAGAGGTCACGTTCAGAGCCTCCTGAAACCCAGAGAGGCCCTTCGTGGGCTGCTCATGCACTGACTGGGAGGCGGTCAAGGCAGGTCCCTGGGATTTCACAGCTACAAGATGAGGAATCTAAGCATCGAACCAACATTAGAGCAACAGGATTAGAAGAAAGAGTAGATCAGCTAGTACCTCATTCAGTGGAAGGGACAATCAAATCTTAGGGAGGACAAAGAGGCCATCATAGTTATCTCCAGCATACTTTCAGAAGCTTTTCCAAATTTCCCATTTACAGACATATGTAGGGCTGAACCAGGGTGCTCGGCAAAAATTAAGTGATTTACTCGGGATTGCTAAGAAGTCAGTGAAATGAGTGTGGTGACAATGAGAGCAATTTTCAGTGAACATTTACTGACCAGCAAGATAACGTATTTAAATATTTTTCTTCTAACATGATAAACTTCCTCCTTCAACACCCTTAACCTGACATTAGAGAGTACTCTGTAAAACAAGAAATGCTCTGAATATCTTACTTCTTAAGAACTCACTAAATTCACCATGAGGTAGACACAATTATGTCATCATTTTACACATGTGAATGGAAGGTCTAGAGAGGTTAGATAACAACCTAGATCTCACAGCTTATAGGTGCTGGAGCCTGGATTGGAACTCACACATACCTCATGGTCCACACACCTAACTCTGCATTATTCTGTTTTCCGGTAAGCTGGTTCTTACCACCCACGATACTATGTATCTCTCCACACCAAGATGGTTTTTTTCCGAGTTGTAAGTCACACAATTTGGCATGCATTGATATTGTTCATGCAGGGAAGACATGCCATCTTCTGGTAGAAATGTGGCTCTTTAAGACAAATTATTAGGGGCACCTGGGTGGCTCAGTCGGTTAAACGTCCGACTTCAGCCAGGTCACGATCTCGCGGTCCGCGAGTTCGAGCCCCGCGTCGGGCTCTGGGCTGATGGCTCAGAGCCTGGAGCCTGTTTCCGATTCTGTGTCTCCCTCTCTCTCTGCCCCTCCCCCGTTCATGCTCTGTCTCTCTCTGTCCCAAAAATAAATAAACGTTGAAAAAAAAAAAAAAAAGACAAATCATTAAACTCAAGAGTTCACAGTGCTCTTGACCATTAGAACTGCTCACATTTTATTGCTACTGCTTCTGTAAGCCTGTCTACTTCTCCACCACAAAGGTAAATTATCTGGGGATGGGAGCCATGTCCAACATGGTATCTCTGAGTCTAGCACTTTGCCTGGCATGTGGAATGTGGTCAATAAATCTTGGCTGGGAAAACACCTACAGTACTTCCTAAATTCAATAAACACTAATCTAATATCTGATTTGTGCAAGGGGCCTATCAGGCCCTCTCAGTGCCAGACCCCTGGGGGCATTTCCACAGTCCTCTTCCATTAGCCTAGCCCCATTCCTTTTGCCCTTGAGGTCTTACCCCTGGAGCAGCCTTGCCCTAGCCTCTTCAGACCATCTTTGGTCTGAAATCTGAAATATTATTAATTATAGTTCAGTGAAAATTCTCAAAGTCTAGTTCAGGTGAATGTTATGCTTCAACCAGAATAGAACTGTAACCAAATTTTTCTTAATGTTAATTAGCATGAAATATAATAAACAATAATATTAAAACAAAGCATATTTTACAAATAGAGCACAAAACCACAAACCTACTTCCAAAGAGTTTTCAAAGACGCGTGGGTGAAACCAGCTGCATTATCACCTTTGTTTTTCATAAAATTCCATTCTTTACTTCACTTCCTATTTCATTTTCAGTATTTAAAATTTAAGAAGCCTCCTAAAACCTCCAGAAACATCTCCCGAAGTGGAGTACCTTTTTTTCTTTTTTAAATAGCTTACAACAGTGGCTCTCGAGTCCTAGACTGCATAGGAGCACCCTGGGGGCTTGTTAAACCACAGACTACCAGGCCCCCACAGAAGGTTGGAGCAGCAGGTCTGAGGCGGACCCAGGAAACTGCATTTCTACCAACTTCTTGGGTGACGCTGATGCTAATGGTCCGGTTTCCCTTTGGGAAACACTGGCTTGGAAGACACAATTTTATCCAAGTTCATTTACTTTTTCTGGTTAAAGATCATACCAAAATCCCAATGAACAAAAGATAATATAATAGTTTATATATAACATATATATATGCATATATATATATATATATATTTGTGTGTGTGTATACATATACATATATACACGACTATTAGCTTGGTAATTATAACTACAAGTATGCTTGTTCCTACCTTGCAGACACTCCCATAGGTCTCCAGTGAGGCCAATTTACCAAGAAATGACTTTGTGGTTGGCTCAAAGTTAACGATGGGTTTTTTTTTTTCTTTCTCACCCCTTCCCCGTCCCTCGAATCCAGTGGGGTCTCCTCTATTTCTTAGATTCTGTATTAAGGGCCATTGTTTGACTGGTCCGATGTGTGAATCCAAGTTACAATCCCCTGTTGTTTTCGTAGGCTTAACTGTACACCCTATTGAAATGGCTAATGGAACAAAGGGGAGAGGTACCTGGGGATCGACTGGTCTGAGCATGGGAGGTGTCCGAGCAGGCTGAACCCCACTGATACTGAAGGACTCCGACCTTGGAGGCAGGTTGGGGTCAGATATTCTGTTGGCAACCTTGTGAGGCATGGCAGGTGAACTCTGCCGGTTGAGCCTTGACCGCTCTTCTACCTGGAAGCAAAAAACAAAACAAAACAAAACAAAACAAAGAAAAACAAAACAAACAAGAAAAAAAAGGTGCTTCAATGGATAAATGGATAGAAACTGATTTGCTTCCTAATAAGGATTATCTGTAGTCACCTGCACAGCCATTTTTCTGTCCCTCTGGTCAATTTGTTTTAAGGAACCCAAACTCTTCATACCTGTTCTGCATCAAGAACTTCTAAAAAAAGCTATTTTCTGTCACAGTAAACCCTAGCCCCCAAAACACAGAACACATAAGCCATCTGGTACCCAGTTATCTTGTGCTGTTTCAGTGAACTGGGAATTTGGGACCCACTTAAGAGTTTATCTTGCACTGACTGGATATTGTCTTACCGACTGGTCGGTTGCAAAGCCATGGCGTCAGTGAGGGAGACACTGGTGGGCATTAAGATTGCTTGGGAACAGGGGTGCGTGGGTGGCTCAGTCATTTGAGTTTCGGACTTTGGCCTCACGGTTTGTGAGTTCGAGGCCAGCATCAGCATTGAACCCTGTGCTGACAGCTCAGAGCCTGGAGCCTGCTTCAGATTCTGTCTCCCTCTCTTTCTGCCCCTCCCCCACTCACACTCTGTCTCTCTCTCTCTCTCTCTAAAAAACAATAAACATTAAAAAAAAAAAAAAGATTGCTTGGGAACAGCAGAAAACTGCTTTCTTATGGGACAGGAAGGGAAGACCACTAATGGTGCGTTTCCTCACATGCCCTACTGATGATAAAGCAAGGGGGTGTTTCAAGCGCTCCCTTAATGAGCTGGACTGTCTTCAGCAGACTTCCTGTATTGTTTCTGTCTTTTAGGATCCTTCCCTTTCACTTGTCTCCCTGCTCCCTAAAATATGTCGTTCCATTTCCATCCAGAACTTCACTGCCTTACTCTCCACCCTCCTCCCTGTTTGTCCACGTGTGACATTCATTCTTGCTTCTCCCCTTCTTCTCTCCCCGCCTCCAACCCTTTTGCTTCTGTGGCCGCTTCATTTCCCTTTCTTGCTGAGTCTCTCCCAACCCAAAGCAGATAACTAATCAGAAGTGTTTCATAGGAAAGGCTCACAGTCCCAGGGAATGCCCTTTTTACAGGTAAGATTCCCCTCGGCACATGTCTGCAGCAGACTGTCACAGAGGATATTTCCGAATGGAAATTTAGATAAACAAGATGTTGAGGCAGCTGGTGGCTCAGTTGGTTAAGTGTCTGATTCTTGGTTTCAGCGCAGCTCACGATCTCACAGTTTCATGAGTTCGTGTGGGGCTCTGCGCTGACAGCACAGAGCCTGCTTGGGAGTCTCATTCTCTCCCTCTTTCTCTGTCCTTCCTCCGCTTGTTGCTGTCTCTGTCTCTCTCAAAATAAACAATCTTAAAAACAAAAAAGATAAACAAGATGTTAAGAACTTTGACGACTTTAAGAGGTCCAGGACTTTTCTTTCCAATCCATCCTATCCTGTCCTTTATTTCTTTAGGGTCAATTTGACAGCTGTATTTTCCAAACCTCCGGGGCAGTGCACCCACCCTGATGACTCTTCAGTGTGAGCATTAACTCTCTTCTGCTGACTCACTGATGAGTGTTCCAAGTGTCTGTCACAGAACCCACATGCAGGTCAAGATATATTTGCATGGAGCTCTTTATTCATTTCACTGCCTGATTTGAAATTAAAATTTTTTCACAAGAGCTATTCTTCCCCTTCCTTCTTATTTCATTAGGAATCTTTCTAGAGGCAGACTCAGTTTCATATACTGAATAAGTCTTTTTTGTTTTTAAACTGTCATATAATTGCAAACATTTTAACATAAGAAGATATGCTGCAGAACAGAAGACCATCCCCCACCTCTACTTAGGGATAACTTAACATGTCCTCTCCCACCATGGCTGTGCAGGGTACATACAACTGGCATCCAGCTGACTTTGTTTTTGCAATTCCATGTCCCAAGAGCTTTACCACATACCAAACAATGTTAGCTATAAAAAGCCAGACGTATAAACCAGAACATGTATACCTTGTGTATGCGTGCATACAAAGCATTGCACCAGCAATAATTATTTGGCTATTGCACTGAGCAAAAGAAAAGAATAAAGCCAGTTTTGAGCTGAGGTCATAAAGAAGACAAAGTCCCATGAAGACAGTGGTAGATAAACTAAGAGGAAGGCATTCAATGTATTGCTTTTCTAAATACTAGACTCCTTGAAAAAGAAAGTGACTATTCCAGGCCACTGAAATTGGTCAAATATTAGCCATCTTCTTATTTCCACGGAAGATCATTAACAGATAAATCACGTGTACAAGCATCCCTCACCGTCCAAACTCCCCCAGTCTAAGCAGGTCATTGCAGTCTGAGCTCAGGAACCCAAGAGATTCAGATGCATTTTCAGAGAAATACCTGGCTATCCAATCGATAGCCACCTGTTACCCAAAAGTCAGGAACCAAATATATTCAGAGAGTGGGGAATACTTGCCATTATTTTTATTTTTTAACTGTAAAATACACTCCTTATTAAACACACACTTAGAGACAGCACATTAAAAACAGCAATTGAAAAAGTCTGCCTTGAAGGGATGAAGATGAAAAAGACTCCATCTTGAGCAAAGAAACCGTTTTTGAGATAAAGAATTTTTTTGGCCAACAGCCCGCAGCAAGCTTCCAGTAAAGGAGGTATTCTCACCACAGGCCATATGGGCCATAGAGCTGCCATGGGAAATGAACAGGGCAGAAAGTGAGGTGCTGATTTTCATAGGAAGTTAATGGGTTTGATTGGTCATGTATAAATATTACTAATGTACTTCTAGCAAAATCTGGTTTACACACTAAATCCTACCATTTGTATGTGTCAGGTTGTACCATTCTAGAATATATGGCATAATTAATTTATGGTTATATTTTGCAAATTATTTCAGGATGATTCAAAATCTGGTGAAATTTCTTGGGTTGGAACTTGTCCAATGAAATCTGAAACTCTATGAGAAAGGTGCAACAATGAGCCATCTGGCTATATACTTTGTCTCAAGAGAACCTTGTCCCAAAGTTTTTAGGAAGATAATGTTGCCCACTGCTTTTGCACCAAAGGAACAACATGAATATTGGAGCAAAGATATCAAATCAAACATCCTAATATCAGACAAAGGAGAAGTTGGGTAGTGTACTTGGGTGCAGGCCCTTCCTGATCATTTTGATACTGGGCAAAGGGCTGTCTCCTGATTCACTACATCTTACTTTCACTAATCAAAAAGGAGATAGATATGTGAGGGAGACAAATAAAGCAGGTGTTTTTTTTCCACACAGAATAAGGATATTTGTGATTAAACAATGGGGTACAATGGAGATATATTTCGATCTGCCTTGCATGATATCAAAAGTCTATTACCTGAGCCTCTGCTCCAAGGAGATGTAAAATGTCAGAAGTGCCACCAAAAAAGAATGCTCTGGTAGCAACAGATATAGAAGGTCAAGGTGCCGGACCATGACAACAAAAGATATGTTACAAAGGATTTCATACTTGTAGGGATTATCAATGAATATAGAAAACAAGATTAGGAGAGGCTGATCAGTTTTAGGATAAACACGATTTGTTTCTTATTAAAAGGACTGTTTGAACATCAAAACGAAATTTGGGGAGGTTCAGATCATCTCTGCAGAGATGCTGTACTATACTGGATGGCTCAGTCAGTTAAGCGCCCAGCTCAGGTCAGGATCTCACAGTTCATGAGTTTGAGCCCCGAGTCGAGCTCCACGGTGACAGTGTGGAGCCTGCTTGAGATCCTCTCCCTCCCTCACTCCCTCTCTCTCTGCTGCTCCCCTGCTTGTGCTCTTTCTCTCTCTCTGAAAATAAATAAACTTAAATAAAAGAGAAATGCTATGCTATGTTTTATAGCATTATAGGGAGAAATAAAACCATAATTATAGTCTCAGAAATAAAACTCTGCTCCAGGCAGCACTGTGTTGTCCACTGGGTTCAATGGGAGTGATGTCTAAGGCCTCTGAGATGCATAAAGGCTATATGAACACAGAAGACCTGAAAATAAATTTGTTGATTGTAGGGTTTCAAAAAATTTCTCAAAATAAATAAAAATATGTTTAAGCATGTATAAAAGGAAATATATCGATGTCAATTGTTGAAGCGTTTTGTACGTTGACAACAATTCATAGCTTACAGTGTCTCACTTAGCAAAAATGAATGATACCTGCCGAGAGAAAAATTTCAAAACAAAATTATAGAAGTAATCTTTTAGATGTTGACAGCAAAAATATATTTACTATGTCACATGGGTGCATTTTTATAATATTTTATACGATGCAGCTTCTGTGGGGTCTACGGAGGCCTGGAAGGCCTTACTTAGAAGCTTATACATGGTGAATTGAACATAATCATACGGGAATTCCTTTTTTTCAAACTGAACAAAACAGTTTGATGTTTTTGTCTTTACTGCAAATGTTGGAGAAAGAGAAAGAAGTCAACAAATAACTTTTAAGTTTAGATACCCCGGCCCTGTATTCACTGGTCCCATAAAGAGTTGAGTCACATTGTCCTCTGGCAAAAACCACAGGAGCAAGATGGTTACTGAGCGAGACTGGGGATAGCCCTTCTCTGAGGCCCCTCTGAGGATAGGGGAGACTCTCATTCATATGACATGTTTAAAATGCGGTCTCATCTGAAGACAAGAGCCGGGACTACTCTTCCACTATCTACTCTTAACCAGTGACTCCAAAGAAAAGTATAGGTCTTCATGGGGATGGGGATGGAGTGTTTAACTTGAAAATAACAAGGCAAATATTATAAGCTGAGAGGGAATGAAGAAGTGTGCATGTATCACTGGGGAGAGGGAGGGTGGAGGAGATGGGGACGCATGTGGGCTGCCCGTGTGAAGTACACACCGGAAACAACAGAGGCAAACACTTACTCCTTGTGGGTGACAGTGACCTTGGAAACAAAGTATGACTGTGTTGAATGCTATCTTTCATTTGTATCTGCATAGTGCTTATGGTTTCAATGGCACATTCATACACACAATGGCCCAGGGGCCTTCCCGAAGGCAGGAAGTGCAGATGGGGAAATTGCACCCCAGGAAAGCTCCAAGGCTTGTTCCATGTCACCCAGCCAGGAGGTGGAAGAACTTGAACTTGACCTCCTTATGCCAAATCTTAAGAGAGAGAAGCAGAAACTGAGGAAAGAAGGGAGCAGAGCTATAAACTCTCTAAATGGTCATTTGAAACTCATATATAAAATAACATACAAAAAGGAAAAAAAAGAAAACCCACATCACTATTGAGTAGGGAAAACCAAGTAGAGGAGTTCTCATATAGAGGATTTCAGAGTCCAATGGGCCGATGAAATATAAAGGCATATCTTGGTCCATTGTTTGCCAAATAAAACCATGGCCAGATGACTGGAATGCATCACAGAGTAAGAACATGATGGAGTATTGAAAAAAATTAAATACAATTTCATACAGCATTCATGTAGAGACAGCATTCTGTCACTTTTGTGTGTTGATGAAAATTTGAAGAAAAAGTTGGGGAGGGGCACACACAGTTACTGCCAGGCCCAATCACATGCCAGTTTAAGGAAAGGAATCTGCTCCATTGTTTAAATTTTTTTTTTTTTAATTTTTTTTTTTTCAACGTTTTATTTTTATTTTTGGGACAGAGAGAGACAGAGCATGAACGGGGGAGGGGCAGAGAGAGAGGGAGACACAGAATTGGAAACAGGCTCCAGGCTCTGAGCCATCAGCCCAGAGCCTGACGCGGGGCTCGAACTCACGGACCGCGAGATCGTGACCTGGCTGAAGTCGGACGCTTAACCGACTGCGCCACCCAGGCGCCCCTGCTCCATTGTTTAAAAAAAAAAAAAGGTATTATAAGAAAATAAATCCTATCTTTCAAAAAGTGGAAATGAGAAAGAAAAAGACCTTCAAAATTTGCTGACATTTAACAGAATATCATACTGATGTTTTTACAGAACAAATCTGATTTCCATCCCAATCCAGAAATGGCAGAGAATTTGAAAGGAGTAAAAATGTCCTCACCCTTCCTTTCAATAGAGACATAAGTGTTCCTCCCTGGCTGAAATCTGAAAATCACAGTCAATGTAACAATCAGAACAATGTAACAATCAGGAGAGAGGGAAGGGGCATCTGGGTGGTTCAATAGGTTAAATGTCCGACTTTGGCTCAGGTCATAATCTCACGGTCTGTGAGTTCAAGCCCCGCATCAGGTTCTGTGCTGACAGCTCAGAGCCTGGAGCCTGCTTCGAATTTTTTGTCTCCCTCTCTCTCTCTCTCTCTCTCTCTGCCCTTCCCCTGCTCACACTCTATCTCTCTCTCTCAAAAATAAGTAAACATTAAAAAAAATTTAAGGAGAGAGGGAAGAGCTCAACAAGATTTGCAAATGATCGGGTATTTTTATTTTTCTTATTACACCCAACAGATTAATGAGGAGGCTAATGAGAAATGCAATGATGACTTACGTTTTACAAAATGAAACAAAAAAATCACAGAGGGTGAGGCATTATAACATTACACTAGCTAATGAAAAACTGTTGATTTGAAAAAAGGAAGAGAAAGAAGGGATGAAAAAGTAACCAAAGAAGGAAAAACCATTCTGGTGAGGAGGTATAGACATGGGTTAGAAAACAAGCACTGGCATAAGTTACAGAGGCTGCCAGGGGAGAAGACAGCTGGGGGTGTCTTCAAGGGCACAGGGGCAAAAAAGGCCTAGACCCTGCACCACAGGGGACCGTGGCAAGGATAATTCCAATTTTATACCCTGGTAGAGGATGCATTAGAAAAAGAAAGGGTGCCTTTTATTCTAACTGCAAAGGAGAGTTTAACCTAGGTTATTTTTCTTGGTTGATAATTAAGATACTGCTAGGCTAGAAATTCCATCCATATCCAAAATTTTGAAAATATTTTACTGTTCAGCTACTTTCAGCCCCATCTACGTCACTACTATAAGGACAAAAGTCTTTAAATAATGCTCTAGAAGAGAAGTTCATGCATTGCTACGAGAAGCATTAAAAGGTCAGGAAGATAAGGATCCTCATACCCGTTTTTATTCCCATTTTAAGAAGTGGGTGTTAAGAAAATGATGAAACAAACCAAAGCACACAATTATTTGTTCTTATTTGTATACTAGTTGCTCCAATCCCAAATTTAGCACTGTCATTTATTCTGTGATCTAAATGTTTCATCTTCTTCTAAAATGTGAACACCCACTCTAAGACTTGGGAATTGTTTCATGGAATAGATTGGTTAGTTGGAAGCTGGATTATGTTAACCACACCCAGAAGTACTGGACTAAATATGAGCCCCAGAAGCATGTTCCCACATATGTCTAGAACTGCATGAAGCCCAAAGAAGAGCGCCAACTGCCTGGAAACCAGGGACCTTGGAAGATGTCACCCACCAGCAGTGGCTCAGATTTATGACGGCCAGGGAACCTCACATCGGGAGTGCTTGACGACATAGCCAGGTTGTTTGCATGCCCAACTACTGTGTTTCTTTCACTGCTAGAAGCCTGGCTAGGAAGCACAAGGGAATTAGGAGGTCTAGAAAACCACCTTGATGACATCTGCAAAGATTGGCGCCCAGGAGTGTCACGGCTTCTGAAAGCTCGGGAGCTGTGAACTAGTTCTGAACAGAGAGGATAGGCCAGGAAACTCAGTGAGGAAGACAAAGAATAACTAGATAACAATGAGGTCAAAGCAGTTAAGTTCACATCGGAACGTGCTGGGCAGAGGCGGAAGGTAGGACGTGGGAACTGCTCCAAGCTTTTCCCCCTTCTCTGGTACATTTGTGCATGAGGGAGCTGCATGGGGGAAAGAAGGAATTCTGGGATGCTTCGCAAACAATCACGGTCTTCTCCAATGGAATCTGTAGGTGTCCCTCTCCTAAACTCATGCTGGCGGCTGGGAACACTGAGGACCACGTAGTCACACATCAAGGAAACATCATTTAGCGATGCAGCACTTCTTAGAGGCGTCGAGGTACTTGGAAGGATGCGTGAATTCATGCCCCTCCTGCCCCAAGGTCCACAGGAGTCTCCAAGGCCCTCCTTACTTGCAGTGATGGACAACCTAGGGTTTGTCACTTTGAAGATGTTGGGAGAGGACACACAAATGACCTTAGATCCTAACTCTTGAGTCAGACTACATCCTTGGGAGCGAGATCGCCTGGGGGATCTCACTATGATCCTTGAGGCTTCCTGAGCCTTCAGTTGTTCTTCAAGACCAACTCTGTTAGGACAAGCTGGTCCATCTTTCTTCTGCGAGTGATGCTCCAATAGGAGTCTTGCTCTGGAATCATTAATTTCGGCAGGTGATACTGGCATTAGCTTAGTGAAGCCTAGTTTTTCAGCCTTCTGAACACCTGCCATGATCAGGAGCTGTGAGTCTGGCTTAGCTGAGGGTTTCAACTTGGCAGGACTAGAAAATGGGTTAGCAGTGGAGGAAGGTGGCACATCTCTACCAGCCGGGATGCATGTCAGCTGCTGTTGAACAGCATGGTGATTCTGCTTAGCTGGAAGGATAGGTGGGTTATTAAAGAGTCGGTGCTGGACCTGGGAGTTGGATCACAAAATTGAGTTATTGATCTAAGAGAAAGAGGCAGCTGTTACAGACATAGGTAAATACAGATCGTATTAACAGACTCTAAAAGAAAGTGATCCAAAACATTCTCTATGTGAGATCAAACGATTTTCTCTACAGGTTCAGATTTCTTATATTTTAAAAGAAAAAAAATTGTAATTTCTGTAAGAGTAGCACATGGTCATTATAAAAGACTTACACAATATATAAGAATACAAAAAAGTTGGAAGAAAAATCCCCGCAGCGTCTACTTCCCTTAAACAATCATCATTAACATTAGGGCAATGTCATTTCAAGCATTTTCTTTACATATATGAAAGAGAATAAGAAAACGAAAAGACAGAAATATTTTTAGAAAAGGAGGATCTTATGTAAGAAATCCAGTTCTGGTGAGACTGTGGTCTAGATAACTTGAAAAAGCTCTGGCTATAAATACCTGAAGATACTAGAACGAAATATGAAGTGACATAAACACCATGCTCATAAGAAACTACAGGAAATCACTGGGAGCCACAAGCAATGACAGAACCGAAAGCCAGAGTGTTATGTGTGTGAGATGACACAGTGACTCCTAGGTGGGATGTTGATCCTGGCTGGAGTTATTATTTTGTTTCTTTGCTTTACCCATTTAGTTATCACCTCCCCCCCACCCCCCACTCCCACCACGCAAATAGTTTTTAATTAGATTTTTAAAATAGCTCATCACAGAGCCAAGTTCCTGAAAATCCATCCTTAGTCGGGTAGTTGAGCAAATGAAGAACCATTGCCCTGGAAGTATTTGCAAAAGCAATACAAATGACCTCTGATCCTAGAAGAGACAACCACAACCACAGGTCTGAGACCAACGGTGTGTCCATTTGTACCATAACAGAGCAAAGGAAGGTTAGCAACGATGCTGATGATAACTTTGAGGGTCTAGGTATGGACAAGAAATGATTCTACCTAAAATTCCTTAAATCTTTATTAAATCATATTCTTTCATGGGAAAGTCACTTAATTCCTCATGCCACAAACTCATTTGGACTTCTGTGAGAAATATGGTTTTTCTACTTCCTGTTGTTGATCACAAAAATCCCCTGTATCTGAGAAGATTAAAAAACAAATACAAAACACGCCAAAAACCCCCAAAAACGGCCTGGAAAACAAAAAACCACTAATGGATTAAGGTGTCTTGCCAATTCTCTATGGCCCTTTCAGAAGCAAAGCATGCATTTCTCGTGATGAATTGTTTTCTAACTGTATAGAGCTAGTTCAATTCTCTACTTCTACTGGATGAACTCACTGTAGCCAATAGCCTGGTCAATAGGACATGGTGACACTTGCTAACGTACTTACCTCCTTGGCCCAGGCTGGTTTCTCACTAGGACTCATCCCTTCTTTGTAATGGTACAGTGGCTTCTTCTCCACAGGCCTCTGCTCCTGCCGCTGGTGCTGAAGAGACACCAAATAGTCTCTCTCTTGCTTCAGCTGTCTCTGTAGTCTTTCTGCTTGTCTCTGTTCTTCCAACTGTTTGCGCTTATATTCCTATCCAGATCAGAAAAGAGGAGCGAAGAAAAGGCCAAATCACCATATGGAAACCATCGGCCAGCACTGGAAAAGCATGCAACGGAGCCGGAAGAGATGGTAACAAGGGGCCTTAATGCTAACAGGGAGGCGCCACAGAGGTAGGCCACAGCCAGGGGTTAGCACTTAGTGAAAACACTGTTGCTTTCATGGAAATCCCTACAGAACACCACCCATTGCAAAGTGACTTGCCCCTGAAACGTGACCAAGAAAGTGGCAATAATGAGGACATTTGGATGGTCAGCACACGACCCCTAGAAGGAGTCATCCACTTCCTGATTTAGTAATTAAACCATTCAAACATGTCCAATTAAGTACAAAACTAAGTAAGCAGTTACAGATAATTGCTTAAATCATCTTCTGTTTAACAAAACTTGGACCAACAAAGGCCATTAGCAAGCGTATGCACAGGCTAAAAAATATCACCGTGCCGCTGAATAAGAAGTTCAGTTAAAAAATATGTATCAAGAAACTCATTTGGAGAGCAGTGCAATAATAATAAAAAAGTACTTCAAGTGGAAGCCGTGTGAGCAGGGAACACAAAATGTTCCCATCATAAGGGTAAAACTAATAGTCTGCAAATGAAATATGACTGCAGAGCTGAGTGGGCTCTTACAGAAGAGGTGCATTTTGCTGTGACTGTATTCCAGCATGTTGCAAATGACCTTAAAAATTACTCCACAATAAACACAGTGGCTCTCAAAAAACAGTCTGAACTTGTAATAAGACAGGATTCATGCTAAAGTTTCACAAAGAGGCGGAGTTAATAAGGAACACATAACATGTGTCTCAAATGTATGAAGACGGCAAACTAGGTCAGGAGATGTATTAAGTTTCCATGAGACTTTCTGAGGTCCACGAGGCTTGGAGGATCCCCTCTTGTGGACTGGCATGTTAGGGGGACACACACAGGGACACACGCACACACACGGTGAACACAGAGCGGGTTGCTGGCCCTTGGCTTCCCCATTACCAGAAGTAGAGCTTGTTCATGCAGTAGCTGCTGTTGCAAGATCTCTAACTGTCTCTGCTCCTCCTCTAACTGTCGCCTGATGTACTCCTGGAGAGGTAGGCAGCAGAGAATTCAGAGGAACACAAAGAGAGAAAGAGAGAGAAAGAACCGGTAATTTCAAAGGTGACAAGAGCTGCCGAGTAAAGTGTGGAAGGAAGGAGTGAAAAAAATACCCAGACGCCTCCTCACCAAACAGGAAAAGTACCAAAGCCAAAGCATTTCAATGCAGTCAAAAGCACAAGCCCTCTACCTACAGCAGCCGACAGAGATGGCTCAGTGCTTTGTCCTTACGATTTGGTTTTAATCGGCTACATCTTAAAGCTTTTCATTACAGGTTCCCTCTTTATGGGCTACCCGGAATTAACAACGGTATAAAGTTCAAAGGCAACTGTGCAAGCAGCAGGAATAAAATAATTGTTGAATGCCATCGTGCACAGTCTTTGTAATGGAACCATCCCGCAGAGCGCCACCGTGCTGCTGTCAGAATGCGATTGTAACAAAGAGACAGGGCCCTGCATCCATGGCTCCGTCATGGAGATGGGAGATTGCAGGAGTGGAAAAGCCCTTCTAAAGCAATGAAAGATGTGGCTCGTTCATTACGCCATGGCGCTACCTTCAAAGTACATACCCAGGGCTGGGAGAACCCTAAGATCAAGGTATGTCAGGGGACTCTGGCCTGGGTAGGAAGCGAGGCTCAATGAGTGGGCATTGCCAAGGCTGTGCATTTGACTTCTTGAATAGGTGAGAAGAGCAGCTCGAGAAAGAGTAAAAACCTGCTTAAACTGAGCAGTCCTAAGAGAAGGTGACCCACACCCCAGGGACGGCGGGCGCCGGAGCTCACACAGGGGCCATCTGTGGGCTCCGTCCCCGCTGTACCTGCTCGTGCTCCGCACGCCGCCTCTCCTCCTCCCGGCGCATCTGCTCCTCGTAGTGCCGGCGCTGCTCTCTCTCCTGCTGCTTCCGCAGCTCCTTCTCTCGCCGTTGTTGCTGTGGGGCCACAAGCGGACAACCATGAAGGAAAGGGGCCTGGTGCTGAGCCGTAGGGACAGCAGCAGCGAGGGCTGCAGAGCCGCAGACGTGCCCTCTTCTCCAGAGATGCCTACGTGCCCAAAAGCTCTTTCTGTCCCGTGCTATTGGGGGAATCGCTGGCAAGGATGGGCTGATAGCAATTCAGTGTCACCCCCAACACCCTGTCATTTCCGATGCAAGTACTCTCCAGATTTTAGTCCTCCCAAGAAGTTCCTGTTAAGTGCATTCTCCCTATTGGCTAATGATGGTTTTCAAACCAGGGGTAGGAAACATCAATGCAAAGTAAGTTACTCATTACATATCATCAAACTGTTTAGGAGATTCTGTAGGTTTTAAGGGGCACCTGCGTGGCTCAGTTGGTTGAGCTTCCCACTCTTGATTTCAGCTGAGGTCATGATCTCACAGTTTGTGAGATTGAGCCCCACATTGGAACCTGTGCTGACAGTGTGGAGGATGTTTGGGATTCTCTCTCTCTCTCTCTCTCTCTCTCTCTGCCTCTCCCCAGCTCCCTCTCTCTAAATAAATAAACTTAAAAAAAACACATTTGCAACACTCATGTCATTCAATTCTTTTGACACCACGTAGAGCAATTATTTCGTAGATAAAAGAAAGCAAAATCCAAAGAAATAAAGTGTCATATTCAAGGCCATACAGTAATTAATGGCTGAGAGTACAACAAAATTCATTGATTCTGACCCTGTCCATTACCCTCTCCGATACATCATGCTGCCTTTACTTATTTTCTGAAGAATTCACTTGTAAGTGTCAATTTCAATGTCTCACTCAATAAGACCTTTAAATTCATCATCATCTCATACAATCACCATGCCTCTGAATATGGACAGTGTGGTAAGCATCTTTCATGCTTTATCATATCTAATCTTCACAAAAATCTGCTGAGGTAGGTATTATTATCATCCCCATTTTATATGAGAAAACCGAAGCTCAGAGACATTAAGCGATTGTTGAAGGTCATCCTCACGTTCAAGGTCATGCCCAGTGAGTGGTGGAATTTGATTTCAAAGCCAGGCAATATGACTCCACAGTCTGAACTCAATCACTGCAGAAGATGAGGAGGCAACAGGGGGTGACAGAAAGATGACAGACGAATCCAGCTCTTCATTACATTCTCAGAAAAGGAGAACATCTTAGGAACAGTTACAGGAACCAGCGTTTGCCAATGGGACAGTATCGTTCCCTAATCCCTGGAGCATCTGGAATGTGTAGGGGCATGTGGGAGTTTTTCTGGTTGTCTCTATGACCAGAGGACATGACTGGCGCTTAGCATGAAGTGTCAGGGATGCTAAAACTCCTGCAATGTACAGGACAGTCACACATTACAAAGTATTTTCCTATGCCACATGCCATCCGTGCTCCTTTTGAGATATGCTGTAGCCCTTGGTATTGGATCTCTGTACTGGCATTGGGAGTTCTTCTTCCTCAAATATGAGGTTTGAGGGAACCGATTGGAGGGGGGCGTCCGATTCTCTTTTAACATTTTTTTCCCTCTTTTAACATTCTTAACAACACGTCACTGCCTGGCTGAGAAAATATGAGGTATCGAAAACAGAATGGATTGTGACTATATCACACTGACAAGCTAGCTTTATACAACCAGGGAAAGAGCCTTCTAATACAAAAGCTCTCTGTCACAGCCACAGCTCACCCAAGCAGACATCCAGACCTCCAAAGAAGCCCACAAACGAGGAGGCCTTCCTAATGTGGCCTCCTCCTGCAATCTGTTGAAACTGCTGTCTTCCAATGATCTCTGAGGTTTGGAGATAAGCTACATTTTTTGAGACTCAACATCTGTCACTTCCAGATCAACAATTATCTGTCCTCCTCAGATTGTAGGTGATAGGGAGCCATCGGAGGACTTCCTGCAGTCAAATGCCATAACCAAAGTTGCATTTTCAAGGGGCTTCCTAACAGTCATGGGAGGAAGCATAACTAGAAGCTGGAATACAGTGCTAGGCCATTCTGTGGGTACGGACAGAAAATAACAGGGCACCGATGAATTAAGCAAAGGCAATTGGAGAGTCCATGTTCATAATCGCTGCTGAGAATTGAGACACAGCCAAAAGGAAGACAGACTAAAAGCTATCCAGGTTTCCAACTCTTCTAACAGGACTGGAGTGGATGCCAAGTTAGAAGTAGAAATTAGAATTAGGCCAAAACAGAATAGGCAGGATTTGGGGACTATGGGGCTTGTGAGGGTGAGTGGAGTTCCTGGCCAAGGAGCAGAGCAGATGGTTTGAAACAGAGAGGAAAGGCAGGTTTAGGGAAAGGAATGAGGGGTGTGTTGGGGGTAGGGATGTGTCAAGCTCCAGACATGTAATTATTTGTTTTACAGAAAAATAATACAGGAAGATGCGAGTAGAAAACATCATCATAGGAACTGACTGAATAATTTGGATTACAGACCCAAAACAGAGATCTTTCCAACACTCAACCCAAGTGAACCAATGCCAACACAGAGGATAAAATAATTATGTGTACAGATCTGGCTCCTGGCAGGAACTAGCCCTAATTTAGCTAACATTTCAAGATTTTTACTCCCACCATCGGTCTCTTTCTTGACAAAAAAAAAATAATCAAGGCTTTTGAAGATTTAGCTGATTTTTATGTGAAGGATTTGTACATTTTCAACCCCTTCGCCAGGAAATCAATACTGTTTTATAATTACATGCCACTCAGGTCCTTGTGTGAGGTGTACAAAGTATTGATTGCAACTCAAGAGGGTCTGGGCTTCCCAAGTACTCTGTAGTTTCTGAGAAAGACACTCAGAAGTGACTAATAATTAATAATGATCTCATTCAGATCAGCTGCCGCTAACGCATGGAGGCATCTGCCAGGGCTTTGGTTCCCGTGGCGAGGTTGGAAAAATAAATCATTCCCCAACCTTCTGAGGGCACCTTGCCAATTTCCAGCTGCTGTGTTCCAATGTCAGTGCCTTTCCCGGAAAAATCTTTGCTTTCTTTCCTCCTGGGCATGGAGCTGTTTTTGGGTACATCCCAAAACATGTCACAGAAAGACCAAGTCCCCAACCTCAAGCAGATACCTCTACAAAACCCTGAAGACTCTTATTAGAAGCAGCTCCTTGAGGGAAGGCTTATGCTTGATTCCCTCTGGACCCACAGCCTCTTATGTGGGGCTAGGCAAGTGGCAGGTACACAGAAGATTCTTTGAACGGAACCAAGTAATAAAGATGGGACAAAGAAGACAACACAATATCTCAAATTCCTTGGGGGCATCATCTGTCTCATTAATCCTTAGAGTTTGTATCACATTGTGTGTTAAATTATGTTTATCTGAGTATGTCTTACTTACTCTACAATCTAAGATGAAAGCTATTTGTGGGCAGGATCTCTGTTCCACTCCACTTTTTATCTCCTACTTAATCCCATATTCGGCCCGATACCATTGATATCTGTTGCAATGAATACTGTAAACTGAGTACCAAGAGAAGAGGAGAAAGCCTGGTGGGGCCTCAAACCACTCCTCCACCCTTCTATGCCATTCTCAGACCAGAATGTTCTTTTATGCCGAGCACAGACAAGACCTGAGAGTGTTTATCTAAACAGAGAGCCACCAACAACTAGCACTGGCATGGTACCTATTTGCCATCTTAAAGAAAGGCGGGAAATTAAAATAAGGGAATAAGAGTCTATGCATCCCTAAGTTGCCTTTTTAAAAATTGTCTCTTATTTATTTGTTTGTTTGTTTATTTATTTTTAAATTCAAGTTAGTTAACATATAGTGTAACAATAGCTTCAGGAGAATTTAGTGATTCATCACTTACATATAATACCCAGTACTCCTCCCAACAAGTGCCTTCCTTAATGCCCATCACCCATTTAGCTCATCCCCCCACCCATCCACAGCAATCCTCAGGTTGTTTCCTGTATTTAAGAGTCTCTTATGGTTTGCCTCCTTCTCTCCTTTTATCTTATTTTTGCTTCCTTTCCCCTGTGTTCATCAGTTGTGTTTCTTAAATTCTACATATGAGTGATATCATATGATATTTGTCTTTCTCTGCCTGACTTATATACTCTATACATCCATGTTGTTGCAGATGAAAAGATGCTCACCATCGCTGATCATCAGGGAAATACAAATCAAAACCGCAATAAGCATTTCTAAATTTCATTCAAGCTATGCATAAAGATGACAGTGGTCCTGCTGTCAAAAAGGAATGGCTTAAACCAACCATCCTAACACTTTTGGCCGACATCCTACCTTTACTGAACTGCCTAGAAGCATGTTTTCATCCACATTTTCTTCACAAATCGTACCACTTAAAATTAGACATTCTGTGGGGTCTTACAAGTGTCTTAATTTTTTTCCCCTGGGTGGGGGATGATTGATAATATCCACTCTGAAAATTTCTGAGGCTAAAATCAATATTGCCCTGCTCTATGGAGTAGGTCATGGGGGTCTTGTTGCCCCACTGTCTTCTACGGATGTTCTCAAAGAATAATTTTGGTTTGGGCAGCTTTGGTTCTCCCCTTGGGTGTTCCCCTCAGGTCACCTCCCAGTGAAGGCTGTGTGGCTGTACTTCAAGTATGTGAACTAGTTAGTTTATTTTAATGAAATAATCTTGTTTCCTTGCTCAGGGAACCCTCAAAGGTTATACATTTATTCCAGACTGATTTTGCAGAATTTTGGCTCCTCAAATTCTTGCAAGAGAATATCACCTTAACTCTTACATGTTCGATTCCTATTGAAGTTGTAACAAATAATCCTCATGGCTGATTGTCACCAAAGTTCTGGTGTTGATCTTTCTTTCCTTTTGTTTCTTTAAATGCTCCTTTTAGATTAAGTTTAACCAGCAGAAACGTGTTACCTCCACCAGGGTGCTCTGGCTCTTGTAGAAGTGACTTTTTGATGAGCTGTCAGGCCATAAATTGCATTTTATTTTATTTTTATTTTTTTAAATGTTTATTTATCATATTTGA